TGGTGAAGTCTTCTTGCTGTGAGGGTTCAACAGATGCCCGCTGGGACCAGGAGTCAGAAGTCTTGTGTTAGACATGGACTGTTGAGAGTCGGAGAAGTATAGAGAAAAGCAAGTTTTGTGTTCTCCTGTATACTGATGAAATTATTTCCCCTCTATTTCTTACGTATTTTGCTAAATTATACTCAATACTTTTTCCACAAACTTTAACCCAAGCCAGACTTGAATAAGGGTGCCACACTGTGGAGATGAAAGCTAAGTCTGGGGCTTTGACTGGAAAGTCCGGGGATGACATGGACATGACAGGTCTGTTTCAGCGGACTCCTGGCAGATTCTAGCATGACGCCATTATAAAAATGTCCTTCTCTGGGGTCGCTTCATGGTCACTTCTAGGTAACATTCTCTGTAAAAGGGTGGAGATCCCTGTGAGGTGCAGACTTCAGCCTTGTTCTCAGTTTCTCAGGAATTTAGATGGATGTATAGAAGACAGCATGTGAGGTTTAGTTATTTATAGATAACAAAATGAAGATTTTACATGGTCTGTACAGCCTTGAAATACAAAGACTTTGTATTTATGTTGAAAGAATTATTGGGATAAGGAAAGGATCAAAGAGCCTTGCCATGATAAAACAAATACCCCTTTTTGCTGTATTATATATTTTACTCATTTTTTTTTTTGTTCCTCTGTCTCCCTCATTAGACCCTGAACTCCACAAGGGCAGGGAATTTCGTCTGTCACATTCTCTACCTTGTCCCCACACCCAAAACAGTGCCTGGTACTCAGTAAATACTTGTTCGTTATATGTTTAAAGCGTAAATTAATAAATGTAAGGTAATACCTGCATTCAGCTGATATAAAAGCTAGTGTGGTCTTGGGCCTTACATAGCGTCTCTCTATACATATGTATTTAAAAAGCAGATTTACTGTAAGGAATCAGCTCAAGCAGTTAGAGAGATTGGCAAGCCCCAAATCTGCAGAGCCAGTGATCCAGTTCCATTTGAAGGCCAGCACGCTGCTGTGGAACCAGGAGGAGCTGATATCCCGGTGTGAGGTCCCTCAGGCAGAAGAGTTCTGTCCTGGGGAGGGCCAGCTTTTCATTTCATTCACTCTTTTAACTAACTGGATGAGCCCACCCATAGAGGAAGCAATCCTCTTTAATCAGTCTGCTGATGTGAATGTTCATCTCATCTAAAAGCATCTTCAAATAACGACAATGCCAAGGATAATGTTTGATCAAATGCAGTATCTGAGCAACCCATGGGCCAGTCAAATTGGTGCCTAAAATTAACCATCAGTGTATTTGTCAGACTGCATCTGGGAACCCTGAATCTTGTCTGAACACCATAATTTGGAGACTATGCTGCAGATCACACAACCAGGGTATCTAGGGAGGAGGAGGGAAAGTTGAGGATACTGCTCTAAAGGTCAAACACGTGATAAAGGCCCTGTGACACCTTCATATATCCTCAGGATTGTCTCCTGGGAGAAAGAGAAAGGAATTCTTTGGTTTGGTAGGCATGATTCAGACTAGTGAGTAAAAAGTGAATCTTATGACTAGAAAGAAGTCTGTCGGGATCTCGTGAAGTCTTCGTTCTGTAAGAGTTCAACAGATGCCTGCTGAGACCAGGAATCAGAAGTCTCACGTCCTGGTCCTGTTCTGGTGCTCTCCAGCCTTGAGCAGGCCATTAGCCTCTCTGAGATTTCTTCCTTTCTGCTGTGGAAATTATACTAGTCTGCCTCACAGGTCCTGAGGATCAAGTGGAAATGACATCTGAATAATACCTTCTAAAACTCTGTGGAGCAGGGGAGGCCTTTGCCAAGCCAGGAGAGCTGGCGGTCAGGAGCAGAGTGCTGACTAACCCCTTAGCAAAGTGGGAAATTTCCACTGACCTGCAGTCAGGGACACCTCACTGCCGTTGGCAGGTTCGTGTTCTTCTTATTGGAATATGCCTGAGGAGTGGCGGGAATTCTGTTTTCAAATTCCTCAGCTCTGAGTATATGAACCTCAGTGGTGCTGGCCAGGAGAAGACCCTTGGCGGGGGTAATGTTTCATGAAAGGATGAGCTAGCCAGAGTTGAGCGGGCATCATTCCTTGTTGAACAATCAGCCTTATCATGGTATCACTTTTTAATTCAGGCGATATTCTGAAGTTGTTTCTGATTTATTGTCTTGTCTATTCTGTTCACCCTCTTGCCTCGGGAGTGTACCAGCATTATATATTCCTTCTTTTACTCTGAACAAAAATGTGCTCTGTGTATAATGTACTTAAAACCCAAATTTACAGTTTATGGCTGTATCATGAATGAGGACGTGCGCACCAGGGACTCTTGCCAGTGAAGCCAGAACTGTCCTGGCAGGGGCACAAAGACCTCTGCACTGTTGTGGATTTCTTTCCCTCTTCAGTGACAGACTTAATAAAAATGCCTTTTTAGTGCAAATGTTTTTCAGTGAAAAGATGATTTTACAAGCAGGCTAAGGTTAGAAGACCAGACGAACATCGTCTGAGGCTCAGTGCTGGTGAGCAGCTGCACCTCAGAGAAGTTACACATAGGTGGGCACAGTTAGTCTTACGTGGGAAGAGGGCTTTCGGGTGCAGGTGACATCAAAGCTAAGCATTCCACCCTGCTTTGCTTATAACTGGCATCTGGGCACTTAGAAATTGTCATTGCCACATCTGACAGCACTTTGCAGTCCGTAATATGTAATAGGTTTGGAGTAAATGACAACGATTGTTAAATACTCTATACTCAGATTATGGAGAGCTAGTTCTGAGCTTCCCAAGCCAGTACAATCCAGAAAGGCTTTCTTCTCCTTTTTAAAGTCCTAACCAGCCTGATTGCTATTTGGGGATTCAGTCTTGGAATCCAGCAGATGTTTGAGTAATAATACTTGATCAGTTCAAGGATCATTCTCCACTGCTGCCTCCCTCGTATGGGCTGACAAAACGTAGAGCAGGATTTCTTACTCTCTGCGTTGTTGACATTTTGAGTAATTGTCTGTGTGTGTGTGTGTATGTGTGTGTGTGTGTGTGTGTGTGTGGCTGTCCTGTGCACACAGGATGTAGGATGTTTACCTACATCTCTCAATTCTAATCTATGGATGCTAATAGCACCTCATTCCTTTTATGATCATCTTAAAAATATTTCTAGAGAGACATCACCAAATGTCTCCTGGAGGACAAGATTACCTTTGATTTACCTATTTATGCTGAAGATTGAAATTTTTTAAATTTTTGCATGAAATTCATGTACATTTCCTGGAAAAATTCAAGGGAGAAGAATGTGAAGAGAACATATTTCATTATGTTCCATTGTTAAAGGCGTTCCAAAAATGGATCATTAGGGATTTAAGGGTTAAGAACCACAGTTGTAGAGGCAGCTCAGATGCCCCACACTGGGCCTGGGCTACAACAGTGCCTTTCACATTATGGATCAGTTCATATTCATTGAAGGAAGTATTCTCAAATGGGGCTGAACATTGGAATCAGCTGGAAGCTTTAAAAAGTCCTGATGCCTGAGCCTCATCCCAAGATTCTAACTGGCCTGAGATGTGCCCTGGGCATCAGAGTATTTAGAAACTCTTCAGGTGATTTCACATTTCAACTGTTAGTATATCATGGGATCAAATCATTGAAGTAGTCATTAGCCAGCATTTTAAGAAAAGTAAGTGTATATATAATCGAATTAAGTACTATATTAATTCTTAGCATAATACCTGGATAAGTACTATTTTGTACTCATGTTAAGGTTGGAAATGCTGCTGTAAGTAATAGATGCATTAGTAAAATCTCTGCCTTCAACATGCTGTTTTGGTCTGGCAATTTATAACCCCATCAGGAATGACTTGCTTTTGTTATGAATAGTTAATGTGAAATTTAATGAGAGACAGTTATAGTTGTATAACTGTTAACCTTTTTTGCCCACATTTTGTGTTTCCAACTTGACATGGTTAAGGTCAGTTGTTTTATAAATACAAGCTCATGGCATGCATATTTTCACCAGCAGCTAAGTTTGATTACAGTACAGTAACGAGATGATTGTTTTCCTTTGTATGTGCTATTTGTACACCGTGTGAAGTTGTCAGCACTGCTATAAATACATATAACAGTAGTATGGTACTTGTGTACCTCATCCTCCAGGTTTTATTAGGGTCAGTTCAACAGTCTCTTCATTAGCTATGAAAATTTGGGAGTCTTACAAAATAAACTGTTATACACATTCATCTCACTGCTATCACACAGAGGAATGTAGTAGAAGACTGGCAACCTTTAGCCGTTCTTTTTATCTCAGTGCTCAGAAGAACTTGAAAGGACTCTTGCTGGGTCTCTATTGTGGTGACTCTGTCAGCAGATGCTGCAGCTGCAGAAGATCACTCGCCCTGATTCTAAAGCCCATTCCGTGAGAACACCCACCAGTGCTTCCCGGTTGACCTGCGATACATGACAGTCAACCTTTGGTACCCAGGAAGGACTGGTCCCAGGACCATTCCTCAATACCAAAACCCACAGGTGCTCAAGGCCTTTATATAAACCTACACATATCTTCCTGTATACTTTAAATTATCTCTTGACTACTTATAATACCCAATTCAGTGTATATGCTATGAGAATAGTTACACTATATTGTTCAGGAAATAATGACAAGAAAAAATCTATACATCTTTAGTGTAGGTATAACTTTTTCCTCAAATGCTTTCAGTCTATAGTTAATTAAACTTATAGATGCAGAATAGCAAAGATAGTTCAGATTACTCACAATGCAAAATTCAGTCTCCCATCACAAAGTTCTTTCAAAGTTTGAAGGGACTTTTGCCATTGTTTGGGAGAACTAAGCTTGGTATTGTTTCTTGAACCAGATGCTGAAAGCCTGGTTTGCCTATGTAACAGCAGGAAGAGACACATTGGTTATTGATGAATACTTGTGAGTGATCTGCTAAGTGCTTTCTCTGTGATTCAGCTTGAGATGTCTTGAGCCATGTTAACAATGCGTTCTGTTTCCTCTAGGTGTCTCAGGGTTCTGTGGTCCGGTTTTCATCAGGAAACTTCTCCTTGACAGCAAAAACAGAAGAAAGGAACTTCCCCCATGGAAATGAACATCTGTTAAATTGGGCCCAAAAGGAGTATGGAGCAGTCACTTCATTTACCGAACTCAAGATAGCAAGAAACATTTATATTAAAGTGGGGGAAGGTAAATTTTAAGTGGCTTCAGTTAATAACTGGTTTATGACAGGTAGTTTTCTGTAACCAGGTGATTAGGGCAAAGAAACACAGGATTCCAGAATATTGTAGTGGGCAGGGACATGAGGGAGCCTTTGGGCTTTTGCTGTTTCTCTCACTTCCCCTTCTTTATTTTTCCTTCTGGGGAGATTGACCTGCTAATGACCAAGTAAGAAATGGGGATTAGTGCACTTGATAGAGAGTGGGAGCTGTTGTACAGGGTAGGATTTAGAGCCTGTGCACAGACATCAGAAGAAGTAAGTGGAGGGTGAGAAGTGGAGAATGTGGGAAAGATGATGATGATGATGATGATGATGGTGATGATGATGTTGATGTTGATGTTGATGATGGTGGTGATGACGATGATGGTGGAGGTGGTGGAATTAAGGGGTCAGCAACTGGGTCAGCAGATTGGGCTTTCTTTTTACCTATCATTCTATACATATTTGAAGCCAGTATCAGTATATGGTTGAGGAATCATTTAAATATGGGCAATAACAAAGGAAAGTGTTTAAATATAGTTCAATACTAATGCCTCTTACAAGTTATTGGCGAAATGAAGTATATGGCCTTGATAAGACGTTACCCATTTCCATTTCCTTGCCTTGCAGACAGGCTTAAATAGCCAGTGACCCAATTTAGGATGACTATTATTTTTCATAAAACATTTTTTATCATTATTTTTAGTTGAGTATATTTGGAACCTCATGTTGTTAAGCAGTAACTCTTGTGAATGAGTCCTTGTTATACTCAGGTGACTGTGAACATGTGTTTCAGGTCTTTAGCATCCAGTGCTTTCTTTCTATCGCAGTTGTCACCTCCTCCACAGATAGCATGGCAGGGAAAGGAGGGTCATTGAATGCTTGATCCCAGCTCTTTTTTGAATCAAGGTTGTTTTAAAGTACATGTGAAACAGACACAGATAGACAGTGACATCAAGAGTGTGTGCTGCTTATTGAGGCCACATCAGGGCTTTCCCATGCATCCCACTTAACCCCACAGTAATCCCAGGAGGAGACCTGATTTCCACCATTTTACAGAGGTCTTAGTGGAGCGTTAAGTAAATTTGTTCAAATCTGTATTACTAGCAAGTGGAAAAGCCAGATCTCAAACGCAAGTTTCCTGACTCTTGAATCTAATGCTTGTTGCTGGATGGTGGTGTGTTGAATCTTAGCCAGAGAAGCATAACCTGAAAATGAAAGTGCGTTGCCGGATGGAAAGACTTGTTTCAGTGTGATGAGAGGAAGAGTTTTATATGAGAGATGGGTTCAAAGGATTTTAAATTTGTTACTGGGCTATTATGGTAGTCAGGTTGCAAATAACAGAGGTCAAGCCCCATTGAGACAAAATGAAAACTCTGTTTTAATAAAAGTTCTAATCCTTGGCCAATGCTCTGCATATCTGAAGTGGAATTCTAGTAGCATGAAAGAATGTTGATTACCCTTTGGAATTTGTCAGAATAAGAAAATTTGTTATCGTAGCATTGAGAATATTGGGCTCCGTTTCTTTGATAGTACATGGGTTTCTATGCATAGTGGTCACCTGCCTTGTAAGCAGGGGGCTGAATAACTTAGGTGGGTAATCTGCACATTGGTAGGGAAGTGAATTTAAGTGAATTTAAGACCTGGTGTCCAGCCCAGCAAAAACTGGTTAACCTTTTGGTAATTCTTTTGGACCCCTGAAATTTGTCTTCAGCCACCAGCCAGATCTAAGCCATGAAAAAGTGTGGTTGGAGAATTAGAGGTTCCTTGGTTCGGTCGGTGGATCACAGGCAATGTCATTGACTGTTACCTTCAGTCAGGTTCCGCTGAGATAACCTCACGAGCTAGTTTCACAGAAGCTGATGTGTCTCTATCCTCCTTTTACCCCTACTCCCCATCCCAGCCATGATCCGCCCTCTGCTCAAACCTCAGTTTCCAAATTGTAGTTCCTGCTGCAGTAACAATAGCAGCAGCAGCAGCAGCAGCAGAATTTCCTGGGAACTTGTTAGAAATGCCTTTTTAGAAACTCTTGGGGGAGGGGTTAACAGGTGGTGTTCTCAAAGAGCCCCCCCAGGTGATTGTGGTGCTTACTCACATTTGAGAATTGTTCTGACCTGTCTGGGTAGAGTGGAAGAATGTTAGTTCTTACCCCAACTGGTCTCCGTAACTGTCAACCTCAGCAACATGATTTACTTCCTGAGCTGCAGTTTCCACAGCAGAAAAGTGAGGCATTCGCATTACTTCCCAGACTAATCCCTGCTCTGAGTATATCATGCTGGGTCTCAGAGTCATTTGTTGGTCTTTCTTCAAATACCAAAAAACAAAAAATACTCTTCCTCCCCACCCCCAGACTTGTTACACTTCTCCCTGGGGATTCCCCATTGTGGTTTTCTTTCTACTTGGCACTTGATGAAAGTTTTGATGCAAAGCATGTGGAAAGTCATTTGTGGGGGGAAAAAAACCCTACACACACAACAAAAAGTGATCAACTTATTGAACTTAGTGACAATGGCATCTAAGACTGGAACCCTTAATAACAGCAACTTTTGAACAATTAAACCTTTTCTAGTGGCTTAGCAACATAGGTGAACTTTTTGTCACTTACCTCAAATCTCAATCATTTGTGAATTCAAGAAACCTGTATCTGCTTCCTGTTATGTGCCAATGACAAGCTAGGCATGCTTGTGAACTGGAAATGCAGGCCATAGTCCCAGGAGGGTCCTAGTCTCTTGAATTCTCTGGCCCATACACACACTTGATTCGCAATTAAATTTCAACCCTGCTGTCTCAGTATCATTTTCCATCCTGTGATCTGGGGGAGGCATCACAAGGCTGCAGCTGTAGGGTGTGCATACCTCATCTGCACATCTGGCAAAACTCTCAGCAGATGTGAAGGAAGGCTGCTCTAGCAGCTCCAGTTGGTGAGCCTGTTCTCTCTGAGGAGGTTTTTGGAAAAGAAAGCCGAGTGCAGAGCCAATGCTCACTTGCAGTGAGCCTGCTGTGGTCTGCTCGGTTCCCGGAATGGTGCTGGGGATGCTGCAGTGGTTGGAGCTATGGTGCTGCTGTGTGTGCTGCAGACTTTAGTGTGAGGGAGGTTACAAGGGTGGGGGTGGGGCACAGTATCAACCCAATCTTGGAACATCCTGGGTTGATTCTTTACCATCAGGTGAGACTTTCAGTGGATGTGGACCTTGGCGCCCATTCTTAAAATGAAATAGGCAGAAATTTGTTTCATAAAAGTGCCAGGTCTCTAATTACCTTTTCTGAAAAGCTTGCAACACCTAGAGCTTCCTTGACACTGGTCCCAGCTGTCATGCTGCCAGCAGTTTCTTCAGGTTTAAATATTTAAACCACTGGATGGAAATCCCATCAACTTCAGCGCTGTGTAAGTGGCATGTGCCGCTGGGGAGTGTCTTCAGACTCTTGGTACTTTCATTGCTTTGCCCACTGGAGGTGGTGAGCAGCCCTCAGCACAATGATGTTTGTAAAACCACCTTGAAAAATGTAGAGCCATGGAAGCATCAGTTGTATGGGTCAAGACTGTGAGAAGGAGTGGAAGTCTGCCTTCCCTGTTTATCCCAAACATTTACCTTTAATCTTGAGAGTATAAAGTGCTGTGAGGAATTAATTTAAGGGAATGATTAAAGTTATGTTACATGTGTGGACTAGGGAATTAATTAGGTAACTGGTTCTGGTATGACTTTAAATTGCAAATACTTGGGAAGAAGCATGTTTGGGGATAGGATAGAGAATGGACTCAATGTGAGTATGCCAACCATGAAATACCTATTGGGATTTTAGGTGGGAGATGGCTTGGTAGACAGCTGGCAAGTCTGAAACTCAGAAAATGAGTTCTGGTCTAGGTTCAAGTGGGAAAGAGCCATGAGGAACAACTGAGGTCATCTTGGGAACGTAGGCAACAGGGAACTGAGAAAGGAGCTGAAGTTCTTAGCCTTGATTTATACTGGGCTAAACTATGGAACTTTAAAATAAGGCTGCCTGTGCCCCACCTTCATGCTCTGAATCAGGTTATCTGGACTGAGGGCCTACAAATAGACTCTGACATGTACCGAAGGTTGTGGGCCACTCCAGTGAAAGAAACCCAAACACAGGTTAGAGTAAACGGATGGGGTAAGAATTACCATGAAGAACAAGAACAAAGAAAGGATGTAGACGAAAGAAGCCGTTAGAATTGGTCAGCAGGAAGTCCCTGGTAACCTTTTGGGAAGCATTTCAGAGGTCACAGTCTGTCCTTTGGGCCTGTGAGTCCTTGGGTCAAACACATGGTCAGGTTCGCCATCACCTCTTCCCTCTGAGCCTAGTTCTATGCAGCTCCGTGTTTGACAGATTGCCCTGTGCTTCCTTACTTTCAGATCAAGTGTTTCCTCCCACGTGCAATATAGGGAAGAATTTTCTGTCTCTCAATTACCTCGCTGAATACCTTCAGCCCAAAGCAGCAGAAGGGTGTGTGATGTCCAGCCAGCCCCGGGATAAGGAAGTACACATCATCGAGTTAATCACCCCCAGCTCTAATCCTTACAGGTGAGCAAGGATGTGTGTGTTTCTTTTAAACTGAGAAGAGGTGAAAGTAAAAATCTTTCCCGATTCATAGAGAGGGAGGGATGCAGGCCCCCTTCCCCACAGGAGGAAAGGACTCCTGTGGCTCACAGGAACTGTGAAGAGGAAGTAAGGCAAAGTGCAGTAGTTTATTTTTTGCATCTGTCTCTAGATTCCATGTAGTCCAGAGGAGTTCCTGAAGCTGTTTTAAATTTCTGGGTACCAGTTACAGGAAACAGTTACTCTCGCTCCATCCTGATCCCTTCTGACATTTATCCATCTTGAGAAAGTTATGAAATGTGCCTTATTAACATAATTTTCATTTTAGTAACGTTCTGTTCTGAATAAAATTCTGTTCATAGTCCTCAGAGCGCTTACACACGCAGAACTGTTTGCTTTAAAGCTCTGTGTTCATGAGATAGAGAGAGAGACTATGTGTGTGTGTGGGGGGTACGTGTGTTGGGGAAAAGCTCTTCATGATAGCATACCAAGAAACCATTACATACAACTAGCCTCTCTCTTATTTTCTTTTTTTTTCTGAGTCATATTCCTACCCTTGGATTAACAATTTGGCCCTCCCTTTGGAGAATAATTAGAAAATTTTTCAAAGAAAGAAAAAGGAAAAAGAAAAAATTTTTTCTCCCACTTTAGCCTCTATTTCATGCGGACTAGTGATTTAGGAATTTAAATTTATATTGTGGAGGAATTTTAAGGTTGAATTTATAATTGTTTTGATTTCAAAAGTGAAAAAAAAAAACTATACATCAGTTTTGGTAAGATTCCATTCAGTCCCACATGAGGAATTAGTGGAAAATTAAGAAGGAATGGGAATAGAAACAATCTGGCCAGTGTGCTTTGATATTAAGCCTAAGGCCTCTTTGGGGATACCACTCACTTTGTGCTTCGTAAGTGTGTAGAATCAAGATAGACATAAAGACTCTTCCCTTAAATTCAGAAAGACAAAGATGTTATTGTTTAATAAAAAATTCTCTTTTATATTTGATTCTTAGAAATTGGGTCATACTCATCAATTTTCTAGCAACCCCTTGGTTGACCATCTGCTTTCTTTGTTAATAGCAATATGTCCAGAAGTTTGAGAAAGTAACTGCTGATATGATTCTTTACAATTGCTTGGCTGAGGATATATAGCTCAGCAGCACAAGCGCCTGCCTGGCAAGCGCAAGGTCCTGAGTTCGATTCCCGATACAAAAAAAAAATCCTGTATACAATTGTTAATGGCTTAAGCAAACCTTATGTTGGTCAGATTCTTCAGCCTGAGTACCACTAGCCTTTTGCCTCTTACTTTATCCTGAAGTTTCCTTATTACTTACCAGCCTGCCTCGCTCCTCCCGGTCCCCAGCTGCCCTCCTCACCAAACTGCCACTCGCTTGTTGTTCTGAAGGACTCTGAGCACACAGCAAGTTGGAGTTGCACAGTGAAGGTGTAGGTTGGAAAAGCAACAATTGTGCTTCAAAAGTGAACTACTCTGGCTTGTTCAAGTCCATTTCAAACAGTGGCTGCATGAAATAACCACCTTTTCCCTTCCCAAAGAAGAGAAAAACTTGAGTGGCTAATTGTCAGCAGGCATGTATTTCTATTGTTATGTAAAACCATTTTGTTGTGTGTGCAGTAACAATCTGTTTTGCACATGTCATTTGCCTGGGATGGACTCCAGCTTTTTAATCAACTGGCCAGACACTAGAAACATGAAGACTTGGAAGAAGGGAGATAGCTGCAACGTTCTGGCATTTAGGTCCTCACTTTGCCTTTGTTTTCCATCCTCAGTGCCTTCCAGGTGGATATAATAATCGACATAAGACCTTCTCCAGAGGATCCTGCGGTGGTCAAAAATCTTATCCTGATCTTGAAGTGTAAAAAGTCTGTCAACTGGGTGATCAAATCTTTTGATGTTAAAGGAAACTTGAAAGTTATTGTAAGTTGATTGAATTTTTTTTTGTCTCGATGAGTGGCAGTAAACTGTGCTTAGGTGTGTTATTTGGTAAAGGGTCTAGCTCTTTGGACTCTCTGAACTCTCTCAGGTTTTACTTTTATAAAAGTGCTTCTCCTGGTTTCTCTTGACAAGGTTGGTCAGTGTGTTGGTTAAAATATGGTCTCTAGGGCTAAGGCAGACCTGGCTGTGAGTCTTAACTCCTTCATTTATAAATTGTGACCTTGGACAAGTCCTTTAGCCTTTCTGAACCCTAGTTGCCTCATTTGTGAAATTCCTGAAAGGCCCTTTCTAGACACAGTAAGTGTAGGATAATTACTGCTCAGCCTTTTATTGTTGAATGTCCTGTAAGGGCCTTGTGTCCTGAATATCAGATTTTATTTGGGGTTATGTACTTGGGGAAGATATGGAAAATTAGACTGACCCCTGCTAACATCATAGACTTTTCTTTTTCAGTTGAATACATAGTATCAGCATGCGTTTTGGCTTGCTTCAAACTCTTAGGGCTGGGACACTGATAGAAGAATCAAGGAGCTTTGAGTATGCTCCAGCCTGTTCCTTAAACATCTTATTTCATGCAAGTCATGCACTGAGGAGGCTCCGCTGGTTAGCATGATAGGAAATAGCAGCTAGCTTCCGGAAAAGTTGGGATGTTGAAGTCTGGTGAAATAAATCTTATCTCAGATATGTTTAGGAAATGGCTATTTGGCATACTATTGGAGTGAATACTATGGAACGTTAGAGAAAAGTCTCTCTCATTTTTAAAAACTCCTTTAGCATCTCTTTTGTGGGCCCAAAATTTTATGCACTGTTTTTTTGAAAACGCTTGACCAACTTGTATTTCATCTGCATTCAATCAGTTGGAGTGGATTTTATGCTTTAAATATGTTAGGAGAGGGCTGTCTTTGGTTTGGGTATTATTCACTCGTGCATGGCACCTTCCATGTGATACAGTATGAGTGAAGCCAACAGTTTCCTAGGCAACATCATGTAAAGGCGCTTGCGGGAGGCAGCAGGCAAAGCCAAGAGCATACACATCTTAATTTTAAAGTAATCTTTTCTGGTTCCTGTGGGTTTTTACATTTTTTTCTTAAATTTTGAGAGGGTCCCAGTAATTCATTATGTGTAACGGTGATACATTAATTTGGTGTCAAGCACAAAGCCCAGCCGTGATTTTTCTGAAGTCACAGATACTTTTATTGCCTTCCCTGGCATGGCATGAGGAGTGTTGGTGACCTGGGGTGTCTCCTGATTTTTTGCTGCCTGGCACACCAAGCAAATGTTTTTAATTTCAAAATAACAAAAACAGGAAAGGGAATCATGCTTTGAAAGGCAAAAAAACATACGGTACATTTTAATTCCCAGCCAGAGTTCTTGTATAAATATTCTTTCAGTCCTGACCCTTCAGTGGCTCTTTTCTCCCTGAGCATGTGTGCCTGGTCCATGGCAGCCTGGAGCTCACTGGGAATGTCCCATCTCTCATATGAATCAGAAAGGCTAGAGATGAGATCGCTCATCCCAAGAAAGATCTGTTTATGTTCTTCTTCTTGGCTGTACTCCTGTTCCAGGCCAATTTTGGACAATGCATGACAACATTACTAAACAATTAGGTAATGTTTCATGATGTTCTTTTTTTTTTTTTCTCCCAATCAGTTTCATGCTTGGTGATTTCCTAACTCCCTATCTCAGATGTGAATTGTGACTAGGCTGTAGGGAAAAGAAAGGTACCTGGTAATAAAAAGGTTTAAGTTACTGCTTAGAAAGGGAAGAATGTTTTATAGAGACTTATTTCTAATATTTTAAGTACAGACAGCATGCTGGAGTGGAAAGAACCCTGGCTCTGGGTCACACAGTGCTAGATTCAAGGCTTCTCTGATTGTCATTACCCCCCAGCAGATACTGGGCAGTCTAACTGAACACTCCCTGTGAAATGGGTATGAAATAGGTATGATGTTTCACCTGTTTACTGACCTGTGAAATGGGGATGATGCTAGTACCCACTTGCAATAGTTTAACTGAGTTAGTTTATTTGTTCGTTCATTCATTCATTCAACAAGTATTGCTTAAGGCCTACAGGATATTTTGTATAAAGTACTAGACACAGTGCCTGCACATCTTGAGTTCTCTGTGAGTCTCTGGTTCTCCTTCTCTAACACAGGAATAGCAACATCTCTCTCCTTATTTTAGAGGAGGATTAAATATGATAATATATGTAAAGTACCTCACATGGTGCCTAGCATTAAAAAAGGGGGCTCATCTTTCTTCCATAGGAGCTCTCTTTAAGAGTATATTTATAGAAACAATTAGAGTATTTCTCTAAACGAGGTGAAACAAAGAAAAATGTCTACTCAAGTAACCATAGGGGCTTGATGGGGTAACTTTAAATAAGAGCACATTAGGGGCTGGGGATTTAGCTCAGCGGCAAAAAGCGCCTGCCTTGCATGCGCAAGGCCGTGAGTTCGGTTCCCGGTACCGGAGAAAAACCAAAATAAATAAATAAATAAATAAGAGCACATTAAACATGGATGCCTTGTGCCTGTGTGGGGAGAATGCACCCTTCAGATGGCAAAATGTTCCAAGAGATCAAAGGGTGGTGCTGGGCAAGAACGGGAACCCTGGATGGTCCACGCTGTCATGTCCAGCTCTGGTTCTTTCCTTAAGTTCCCTATGGCAAATGCTTGATCATTTCTACAGCGAGGAAAAAAACCAGAACCAAAAAGAAGAGATCAAGTAAACTTGATCGTCTTACACTGATTTATATGGCCTTAGGAGTTACAAATTGGTGGTGGACACCTTATTCTTAGAAAAGTCATTTTTAAATCAGCAAGTGTAGGCACTGCCCGCTTTAGTCCACCTTCCCCTCACAGGCCTGCCCCAAGTCAGTTCTGATGCACATATGGGGGACAAACGTTGAGACACTTAGACTTTTTAACTTAGCTCATCTTTTCTGCTAAAGATGTGGCAGGGGAAGATGGTGGTGGTATTTGGAGACCTGTTTGAATTCCTCTTTACCTCCACTATGGTTGGAAAAAGCCTGAGAACTCCAGGAAATAAAGAGAGAAGAATTTGCTCAGTGCTGAGAACCAGCTTGCCTACCATTATGCGAAGGCTTACTGCTTATAAGTGTGTGGATAGATATCTAGTCTTTTAAAAAGTTCCTATCCTTAAGTGCAGCTCTATAGATGGAATGTGGAAAGGTATAGACAAATTATACCATATTGGTGTAAAAGGGCAGATGATAGTTATGATGAAAATATTCTGACAATACAGTATTTTCTCAGCTGGCCAACAACATGCAAGACCAGGGCAGATGAGGCCAGGCAGCACTGTTTAGGCCAAGGTTGTGATTCCAGCCAATCAAAACGATCTGCTGCTTTGAAAGGCTGGAAGCAACTGCTGGTGACCAAATGAGTCAAACGTTCTAGCAGCAGATTGGATCCTGCTTTACCGTATTTTAGTTTTCTTTCTTTTCTTTTTTCTCTGTTTTCTTCCCCCTTCCTCCCTCTTCCTCCTCCTCTTCCTTTCGTTTTATTCCTCTAAGGAGTTCCTCTGAATCAGAGCTGAACTATTCTGAATCTGTGAGGCTGAGTTTACAGATGGCTATGGAACTTGGTTAAAACTCCATCTGGTTCCTTTGTGTGCAGTGGTTGTGACTGGTCAGTCTGGCAGTCTTCCCTCAGATAAGCACTTTGGGTAATAGAAGAACAGACCGGGTGAGATCCTTAAAGCCTTGAATTGAAGTGTATGTCCTCAGCCAATCTCCCACAACCGAAGAGGCCAAGAGAATTTAGAGCCTGTGAATCTTTTATGGTTTTACAGTGGGAAAGGATTAATATTTAGTCATGTTAGGAGCAAACAGAATGGGAAACAAATGAGGAATTTAGGGAAAATGCTGCATATATGCAGGAGAAAATCATTGGGCATGGAAATTAAAGTGGCTTTTATTCAGCATGAAAATGGTATAATCTGCACACTGGAAGGGCTTCCCAGCCCTGTTGGAGCAGTTGTTGAAAATGTGTCTTCCCACTGGGGACCCTCTGAAGCATTCAGCTCCCTTTCCCTGTGACAGGGTTACCGCCACAGAAGTCAGTAATGACTCCTCTTCCTTTCTAGGTCCTGGTTACTAAGACTCCATTTATACCTCTCATTTTATTTTTGTAACTGATTCCACAGTGAAACAGGTTATGATCTCCTTATTTTACTGAATAAAATATTGGTACCTAAAGGGCTTTTCACTTTAATTAACATTTTAGAACATAAAATGTAGGCGTATTCAGTGAATAGAATTGGGAAATAAACACAATTAAAAGATGGGTAAGATGATCATAAATTATAGATGAAATATAAACATTTGTTGTTTAACCACGTGGAATTTTTTTTTTTTTTTTTTGGTTTTTCTCCGGTACCGGGAACCGAACTCACGACCTTGCGCTTGCCAGGCAGGCGCTTTGCCGCTGAGCTAAATCCCCAGCCCCCACCATGTGGAATTTAATAACGTCTTCCACAGTGAAGTCACTAGGTTGTGCCACCTTTCATTTAAATACGGGCACAAAAGTAGAAACATCGACCTATTTTGGGGGGGTCATATAACATGTGCACCTGTATACTTTATACATAACTTTAAATAAAAATAAAAAAGTCTGATATACATATTTGGTATTGTATGTTAATAATGTAACCACTGAACTAGTTCTGTAGGGGTAGACTAGGTATATTTAGCATGTGTAGCTTACGCAGCTGTCACTGGATTATTTTCATCAATACAAGCAATCCAGATGCTGTGGTCACACAGCATGAGTAGGTATCTCTTCATCTGCTGTCAAAGGTTTTTCACAGAAGCGTTCTTAGCCCAAGGAAAATAGGGATCAAAAGAATAAATAATCCTCACATACAATCTGGAATTTATTAATTATTGTTATTTAAAGTATTTTTGTTTTTGGAGTCATGAGTGAAATTTTGCTGGTTTTTGTTTGTTTGTTTATTTAGGCTCCCAACAGCATTGGCTTTGGGAAAGAGAGTGAAAGATCCATGACGATGACCACATCGATAAGAAATGACATTCCTTCCACTCAAGAGAACCTGGTGAAGTGGGCTTTAGACAACGGCTACAGTCCAGTGACATCATACACAGTGGCTCCTGTGGCTAACAGATTTCATGTTAGAGTTGAAAACAATGGTAAGTATGACTTTTCAGGAGGTTTCAATGAAAAATACTCTCCAGATGAAGTTTTCCTGTGAGGAACTCTCACTTCAGCTTGAATGGTGGTGTTTTTCTGTTACACATTTTAATATTTTCTTTGATGCTTTCTACCACAACACATATAATTATCTAGAATTGTGACAGATTATTTTAGCAAGATTATAATACAGATTTTCATAACACAGAGTTGATGGTGTAGCAGAAAATTTGTTGTAAACCATATGTATTATGATTGTATTAGGAACAAATTAGCCTGGTGCTGTCAGAGGTACCTAATGACCGCACATGGCTGAAGATACAATTGGGTTAGGACTGCAGGGGAGCAGTTCATGGTCACTGGCCGACTCTTACAGGAAAATAGTCTGCAGGGCTCGTACTTGGGCTTTATTACCCAGGGGGAAGGACAGAGTTGTCACTCCTGTTTGGGGGAGCAGAAAGTAGAGCCTCAAGTTCTCCAGAATTTCCAGCCTTATAACTAATATAACTTGAGCCCAAGTTTTCTGATCCCCAGACCTTTTCTTTACCCCCTGGTTCCACTGAGTGCAATGCCAGTACAATGAAGATTACAAGTTTAGGTTCAAGTTCCAGTGCCACCATTTACTCATTATTTGGAGAGAAGTTGTGTAACCTTTGGGCCTCAGCTTTCTCTTTAGTAATTAGAGGGAAAATAATAGCACCTACCTTACAGGGCTGTCGTAAAAGTTTTAACTAATGTACAAGTTAAAGAGCCTCCGAAGCTATGACTTCTCTGGGATTCGTACAGCTGTAGCACCCTTTTCCAAAGGATTATATTGAAGGAGAGTTCAAGGTCGCCAGTCATCTTCATTTCCAGGCTCCACTGACCTGGATTTGACTTCAGATACACACCAGCTGCCTTAGATAGTGAGTAGAAAGTAGGGCATCTTGAATGTATCATGTATGGAAATCTCTCTCTCTTTGAAGCAATAAGTGTGTCTGAGCAGCTCTTTATTTTCCCTTAGGTACTGAGTTCTACTAGTGAGGAAACTCAGTACCTTCTAGAATTTAGCAGTTAAAAAAGAAGTAGTAAAATAATTTTAAAATACCCGAGTTGGGGCAGAGAGTATAGATAATGGTACGATACTTGCATAAAATGCCTGAGGCCCTGGGTGTTTGATCCCAGCACCATAAGGAATACATAAGTAAAAATACTATTATTATTTTAGGAAATCTTTTGAGAAATTATTTTTTTAAACTCTCTAAATTCAAGGAAAGTATTCTAATGGCTTTTGAGTGGAATGATATTGCCCCACCTAATTTGAGTCACAGATGTTTAGCTTTTTTATTTATATATTACAGGAATATCTACCAAAAGTTTCTCAACCTTGGCTGTACATTGCAGTCATACAGGGTGCTGAAAAGTGTGTTGATTGTGTCCCACCCCAGAGAGTCTAAACTTTAATTGGCTTGGAGTATAACCTGAGCACAGGGATTTTTCTTATGCTTCAAAACTGATTTCAGTGTACATCCAAGGTTAAGATACTGATATAATCCAACTCCCTAATTCTAAAATTTGGGAAACTGAGGCACAGGGATGGTCAAGAGCCACCCAGTTAGTAGAGCACCAAGACTGGAATTCAGCCTTCCCCATTGCTTGTGAACATTGCTTGCTAAATATAATTTTACGCTGCCCGTTCTGTGCTAATTCCTCCTGCTCTGCCTCTAAGCATGGTGATTGTGGCCTGGCATCACACACTGATGATGATTTGCCTTCTTCTGTTGCCACAGAGGAAATGAGAGATGAGGAAGTCCATACCATCCCTCCTGGGCTGCAGATCCTGCTGGACCCAGTCATCCTGCCTGGCCCGGAGAAGCCACCCTTCCAGGGCGGGGGTGGCCGAACTGGAGGTCTCCCCTTTCCTTTCCCTGATATCTCCAGGCGAGCCTGGAGGGAAGGGGGAGAAGATAGGATCCTGAGGCCAAAGGATTCCGTCATCCCCAGCATACAACTGTTTCCTGGTCCCAGAGAACCGGAAGAGGCACAAGGGAGCATGGATATTGTCCCATCGGTCAAATGTGACAATGAAAAGATGATAGTGGCTGTAGAAAAGGATTCTTTTCAGGTCAGTGCAGTCTGTTTAAAAGAGAAGAGAAGGGCCGGGGATATAGCTCAGTGACACAAGCACCTGCCTGGCAGGCACAAGGTCCTGAGTTTGATTCCTGGTACCAAAAATAAATAAATAAATAAATAAATAAATAAATAAATAAAAAAGAGGAGGCCACCTCCTTTCCCATCTTGCCCCATTCTGTGTTCACGCTGTCTCTTACTTTTGCAGACTTGGCATGGTTTTTAGTTGGATGGTCCCACTTCTGCTTGGCTGGGAGTCTCACCTGGTTCCTGTTGTTCTCAGTGAAGGGGAGGGGGTTTCCAGAGCTTTGTATGTCAATATTTTGCTACTGAATTTCCAAAGCCAACAAACAATTCCTGGGCCGTTCCCAGGTGGTCAGCTGGGAAGAGATAAGTGGGGCAGGGGCCAGGATACAGGCCATCAGCCACCTTTACTTGGAAGATCAGGTCATGTGTGTTCACTGCGCACAAAGGACTGCCTGTGAGCCCTCCAGCATATCTTCGGTGGTTGTTTTTCAGACCAGCGGCCACTCGGGGATGGAGCTCACTCTGTTGGATCCTTCCTGCAAGGCCAAGATGAACGGCACGCACTTCATTTTGGAGTCTCCTCTCAATGGCTGTGGAACTCGGCACCGGCAGTCAGCCTCTCATGGTGTGGTTTACTATAACTCTGTGAGTGTTCTCCACAACAAAGCTCTGCCCTTCTCCAGAGAATTGCTGGGTGTTCCCTTAGGATTAGTCTTATCTTTCTATGACAATGATATACTTGAATGAAGCCAGGAGTCAGTTCTCAACAAAATGTGATGCACCTTCACCCTGAGCTCTTGATTTGTTTTACTGGTGAGTCTTTGGGAGTTGGAAGGCCTTATTCTCTCAGCTGAAGTTGTGTGATCTCACCCTCTTGCTCCTTCCATCTCCTGATGGCAAAGCGTTCGCTAGCAAAGTGATCATGATCTCCTTCTATGTATGGCAAGCTGAAGCATCAGATGGCCTGGTCTTTACAGGATAAAATCCAAGCCCTTCGTTACATGTGAGAAGCTCTAACCAGATATATGGCCTCTCTGGCTTTATTTGGGCCTTATCCAGAAGTGAGAGGGCCCCTTGCTTCCTCAAAAATAAAGATCCAAGTGAGAATTTAAAATCTAAAAAGACCTGGAAAGAATTATCAAGTCACCTTCTCCACTTCTATGAAAAATCCTACATTTAGGGGTTACCTGGAGAAAGAGTCCATAGATTTCTCGCAGTGATAACCATTACAATAACTAAACTTCCAGCAGGCTTTCTTGTCGGTTCATCTAATCTTTTCTCTTCAGTTCAAATCTGTTCTCTGAGAGATAGAGACTAAGGTAGGTAGTGAATTTTAAAAGGATTTGAAACATGAAATCTCACAAGAACTTCAAAGTGCTAATTTTGTAGTTAGGATTGTACTTTCGATGGTAGGGATAAGGCTCAGACATCCTGCATCTACCTTGGCATAGAGTATGTGTCTGTGTGCTCTGAGCACCTGCTGCAGCACTGACACGGAATCGGGTGACTGTGGCTGCTGGTTCTTTCCCCCGCCAGTGAGCAGGTATCTTGACCCAATCCAGAGAAGAGGCCTCTGGTCAGTGTCGTTATATGGCAGCAGCTCTTCTGTGGGCCCAAGTGTATTATTCTTCAGAGAACCTCAGAATGTTGGAGCTGGAAAGAACCCTGAGATATCTCATTCAGTTTCCTCATTTCACAGGTGAGGAAATGGAACTCGGGAGTTAAAAGACTTGCATAGATTCAAGTGACTAGTTAATGGCAACACTAGGATTGAGTCTACTTCCTGATGCCTTTGTGTCCAGCAATCTTTCTTCAGTACCAGGCTTCCCTAGCAAATACCCATGTGTTATACAAATAATTAATTAACCTTTGATTTCATGCTGACTACAACGCTAATTTTCTTGCAGTTATCCAGTATCTCCTGATGCAGCGAATGTCATATATTACAGCTGTACTTGACTTTTAGCATTTAAAAACTGATGTCCGAGTTAACACCAGTAACAGGGTATGATAATCTGTTTAAGAACAAAAAGTATCAGTTGCTTCAGGAGAGAAAGGCACAGCTTGACCTCTTAGAGACCCTTCTTTCTCGTATATTTTTATGAACTTTAGTATGATTGTAGAGTAAGCAATAGCCTGGGTACTTGTTTCAGTTGCATCAGTATTTTCTTTTGAGGGCCTGGTAAAGGAGAGAGTGGCAGTTTTTCTTCAGACTCTTCCCTTTCTATTCCCTTCGATGAATATTTTGTTTAGTTATAACTGTTTCCAGTAATTTTTTTTTTTTAGAATTGTGAGATATTTTTGTTTTGCATCATGTTCAGAATCTAATAATACTGAGTGGAAAGAAATTAAGGTTTTATTTGTAGAACCATGGTCTTGAATGACCTTCTCCATCTCACTTAGAACTAATCCAGAAACAATAATTTCAGCCAGAGTTGAAGTAGATTGTCCTGGAAAAGAACATACTCTCTTCTGGATGTGTATACCGTACAGAAAGATACTGGGAAAGAAATGAGCAGAAGGGGAATGTAAGAGAAGAGATGAGATTGACTCCATTGTAAACCTTGGGTTCTCTGTTTCTAACTGAAGCCAGACTTTCTGCAAATCTTAAAGGGTGCACATAATAAAAGCTCTGTGCAATAGCCAACTCTTAGTCTTGCTTAGCGTTTTTAAATAAAGACCCAAAGGAAAAGAGCCCCCATTCCCAATATATATAAGCTTGTTGACAACCCCATTCAACTCTATTTCAGTGTGTAGAGTTTTCCCACCCTAGGTAATTTATAATTATTCAATATAGTTATCAAATAAGTCTATATTTTTCATAGAAAATACAAATTTTAGTTCAGATCTTTTCTAGAATTTGCATTGGTCATATTTTTTTATAAAATTTTGAAGGTGAAATCCTTAAAAAAGCTTGTAAGTTTTTAATGTTGAAGTCAGATTTTTAATTTGCGTCTGAATTGTTACCTGGGTATTTACATGAAGTAGACCAAAATGCCCATGGTTAGGGTTTTTTTTTGTGTGTGTGTGTGTAACAATGACTGTCCTTTCTTTGCCTTTTAGATTGTGATACAGGTTCCATTGCCTGGGGACAGCAGTGGCTGGCCAGACGGTTATGAAGATTTGGAGTCAGGTGATAATGGATTTCCAGGAGATTTGGATGAAGGAGATGCTCTCCCCTTCAGCCGTCCTGAAATTGTGATGGTGCGTGTTGGCTTTCAGTAGGTAGTTCATGGAGAATGTTGTCTATGTACTTGACTTTCATTAGGGACTATCAGCCAATAAAGTTGTATGTTAAAGGCCAAGACTTACAAAGCTACTAGGCCTTCATCCTTCCTACGACTGTGATTTATCTGTGGGCTTTTTTTACAGTTTAATTGTAGCTTGAGGCAACTGGGGAATCCCAGTAGCTTCCAGGAACGGCCCGATGAAAACATCACTTTCAACATGGAGCTGTACACCACCGACCTCTTCCTGGTGCCCTCCCAAGGGGTCTTCTCCGTGGCAGAGAATGGACACATCTATGTTGAGGTGAGACCATAGCATCAGCCTTGGGCTTTCAGCTCAGCTCTGAGTTACATTTCCTGAGACCATGGCTCATGCACCTCGTGTGGGCCTCTGCCTGTCCTCACAGCCCTCCCCAACTCTGGATGGCGGCTTGGCTCAGAAAATGCTTCAGGTTGCTTTCTGAACAAAAGAGGAAAATTCGGGATCTAGTGCATTATGCTAAATGAAGAGAATACTTGGTAGATAAATGTTAAAAAATAAAAAGGGCAGAGTATGAATTCTAATAAAGCCCTGTGCCTGCTTTGAAGCTAGCTAGCATCTTTTAGAACAGCAGCTCAGAGGTTGCCAGGAGTTAACCGAGGAATGTTTCAGATCACCTCACATATTATCCCTTAAATTGCACTTATTTTTAAGTGACTACCAGTGGCTATGATATTTCACAGAACTAATCTTTCTAAATCATCATCTGAGTATATACATTTATTAAAACTATTTTCTGTATAAAACCAGTAATCATGCACAGCATAAATATGAAATGACTACAAAATATTAGACAATGGTAGTAATGAAACAACAGCAGCTAACTTTATTGCTGATGTACGATGTGCCAAAGATAGTTGTAAGTATTGTAGGAATTAATTAACTCTTCAGAGCAATGCTATGAGAATGGACAAATAGTAACTTCATTGTATGGGTGAGAAAATTGAGGAACAAGCTTGTCCAAGCTCACCCAGCTGCTACCTAGTAGAGTTCAGACTCAAATATACCCCCTCCCCCAGACTATGTGGCTCCATAATCCACACTATTGTCCAGTGGTGCTATTGTCATTTATCCTCAGAGTGCCATTTGAAGGGGAAAAAACATAACCTCTTATCAATGCAACTATCTAGGCTCATAGACTGGACTCTAAAAGAGGCAGATCTGCTTATGGCACCAGACTGTCTGTTGCCTTTGTGCCTTGGGCAGAACCTGTAGTGGTTCAGTGGGGGTATTGTCTGCTGGCCTATTGTCATCTGATGAGCTGGTTTGGGTGCTAAGCTGCAAGCTGGTGTTCTGCTTCACTATGAGAGGAGTGCGGAGCTTAAGGGGTTGAAATAGGATAGTTCCATATGTTAAAAGTGACTTCAGAGCACATATTTCGGTTTTAGACAGGTAATTCTCACATCTGCACTGGCTCTAGGACTAAACTCGCCGGCTCTAGATGTTGTTTTCTTGATTATATAGATTCTGTCTGTCCTTTTGTGACCCCTATTTTGAGAGTGCCTCTCTTTCTTTGGGTGCCCCTGTTTTCCCCACTGAGGAAAGAACTCTGCTTTCTACATGCTGTTCCTAATCACAGCGCTCTCCTCGTCCGAGGTTGCTGTCTTCCTCCGGCTTTCCTGCCTGCATTATCCACAGGTGCCTTTGGTCAGTAGCTTCCTATTGTGCTGTGGATTTTAGTGGCATTGTTTAACTGCAGTTTATGCTTTTCTAAATATGTGCCTGGCTTGGCTAATTTATGGCTTTGCTAGTTTATGCTAATCAGTGGCTAATCTTCCTTGTGTATCTTGCCCTGGATATTTTTTAGCTTTTTCCTTCATCCCTGCAGTCCTGGGTTAATATATTATTGGTAGTTTTTTCCTCCTCTTTTTTATTCTTGTTTTCCCCTTATATCTTTTCAAATATCATCTGTATCTTATGTAGTTAAATTTAGTAAAAAGTGGACCACATCTTTTTACTAAATATATTTTAAATATGAGTAAATCAAAGAGAATTTAGGGATAGGGAAAATGTTATCAATGGTTTTACTTTTAAAAATAGATTTAAACTCCCTAAAATACAAGAGAATCTGTAAATGTTTTGCTAAATAGGACAGCAACCAACTATGCTGCATCTTTGTTTTCTACTTTGTACTCCACTACTGGTAGGAAATTTTTTTACTTAGGTTAAGTGAAACTTATAAATCATTGACTTGATCTAAAGAACTATTTCCTGGTTTCTTCTCCCCGCCATTCCTCTTATCCCCTCCCCAGACCTTCCGTTCCCTCTGGACCGCAGTTCCTTCCTTTAATCCATGACATTAACAGTTTTGCCACCTGTTCTGTGATCATCTTTGGGTGATGGTTAGTGATATAATGGCAGTTTCCCTTTTAGATGATTTTCTTGAAGAATGAGAAAAGAAAGCAGTACATAACCTTCCAAGTTTAAATCTAGAATCATACTACTAATTGACTGCCTAGAAGCTGTGTTGTTTACATGTAACATTTTTTATTAGTACATGTTTACAGCACGTAATGATTACATTTATCATGGGGAATTGGTACATGTACGTAATACATTTTAACTATATTTTTCCTATACCCTGCCCCCTGCGCCTTACAACTCTTGGTCCCCTTCCCATTTGTAAAAGCTCTATTTCCATTTTTCTTTCTTCAATTCTTTTTAATCCATCTGCTGATCACTTGTTAACCCAGCCATTTGAAAGAGGTTTCCTACTTCCTATTTATCATATATATATATATATATATTTATATATATATATTTATATATATATCTCAAAGTGGAATTTATAGATTTTGCCATAAATGAAGATAACCTTGAGTCATTTGTAGGTAAATAGATGGACCTTGAGGCCATAATATTATGTGAAGTACATATAACTTTTAAATTCCTAATTCTGACTGCCTACAAGTCAGGCTGCCCAGAAACTGTGTTGTTTAAATGTAACTGTTATGTTACTAATTCTCTCATTAACTATGCCTTGTAAGTATTAGAGTCCTTGTTCTGAAATTGAGGAACTTGAGTCTCAGGGTATATATGTGAGAGCAGAGGTTATGGTTTCCTTGCACTTGTCTCATTCCAAAGCCTTTAGTATTCTACTATTCATTTATAGTCCATTTTGTTTATTTGTTTGGCATTGCTAGGGATCAAATCCCAAAACTCACACACGCAGGGCAGGTGCTCTACCTTAAAGTTCTGTTCCTAGCCTTCTAGTCTATTTTAGCATAAAAGATTTGTTGATAATATTTTTTCCCCTCCAAGACAGCTTTTTTGGGATACCCTAGACATTCTGCCATTACATAGTTCTTTTGCAAGTAAGAAAAGATTTGCAGTACTTTTGTTACACATTTTGAGTGGGTTATACATGACAGATTCTGAGCTCATGTTAAAGGGTACTTTTTGTTTTAGGGTATATGTAATTTACCTGTATGTAATTTGTCTTTCCAAGATAGAATCTCTTGTTCTGCAGGAATACTGTAAAAATAGTGATGTATAAGTATTTACAGAATGTCACCCCAGAGTAACAGTGTCATAATCATTTTCATTAGCATCCTTCTGCTTTCATCATCTTTGTTGTCAAGTACTGTGTAGTACTCATGTAGGGATCTTTGGTACAGTGCTGTGGATTCAGAGGTCCATGAGACGTCAGGGATTTCCCCTGGGTATCTCAGAATGGAAAGTTTGTTTATCTCTCCATGTCTTTTGAAAGGATTCTGGGGCTCTTGGCCCATGGGTAGGAATTAACTTTATTTCTAAAGTGTTTAAGTTTATTTTGATCCTAAGTTTAGTCAAGGAATGAGGCATAGAAGGAGGAGCGGTAGTTCACAAAGTGATCCACATGTCACCAAATGGAGAATCCAGTCTGCTCTGGAGATTTTAGCTGAGCTCAGGGTAGTTGAGGTTTGATTCTGTTTATACTTGGCTAACCACTACTTCCTGTTTCAAAAGAAAAGAACCTTAACAAGATTTGGACCTGACCCATACAAATGTTTTGTAAGGGGGAAGTGTAAATGAGTTGGAACTGTTTCCAGATTAGATTTCCTTAAAAAATACCCGTGGGCTTGAAGAGTGAAGGGAGAGTACTTGGCAAGGCCAGTGTGGTCCTGTGAGCCGCTGGGACACTTAGCCAGGCCCATGATGGCCACCAGATTGCACTCTCCCCGATAACCAGCCCCAGAGGCAGCTCTCCCAGCTCCCTAACAAAGGAGAAATTAAGATGAATCTGGACCTTTACTGTGATGTTCTGGGTTTGCTCTGATTTCTTACAGTTTAGAGGCTCGGTCTTTCCTGCCTCTGTTAACTAGATTCTGCCTCTGTACTTGTTTGGGTTTTTTTGTTTTTGTTTTAGCAATTTTTAAGATTGTTTGTCCTGTAAGTAATGCACTACTATAACATTAGGGCTTTTAGTTGCAGACCTTTTATTTATGTTGGAAAATTCACTTAGGTGCTTGGTGTGCTTTTATTTTTATCTCTCAGGGAACTTAACAGGAGGTTGAGACATTCATGTTGCATTTAAAACTTAGTGGGCTGGCATTTGAGCTAAATAATTGACTGTCATCATCCATATCAAGTTTAAATGGAAAATACCTCCTTAATGAACATATGCTACTATTGTAGTTAGAAAGAAGCCCATAACCGTGTTATGAAAATAAAGCAATATCTCCTCCAAAGCATATTGTCCTCATGCCTGAAGTAAAAGATGTTTACTCATATCTGAATTTATCTTCCTGGTTTTTTATAGGTGTCTGTCACTAAGGCTGACCAGGAACTGGGATTCGCCATCCAAACGTGCTTTATCTCTCCATCTTCAAACCCGGATAGAATGTCTGACTACACCATCATTGAGAACATTTGTCCTAAAGATGAGTCTGTGAAATTCTACAGTCCCAAGAGGGTGCACTTTCCTCTCCCACAAGCTGAGATGGATAAGAAGAGATTCAGCTTTGTCTTTAAGTCCGTGTTCAACACCTCACTGCTCTTCCTACAGTGTGAGCTGACACTGTGCACCAAGAAGGACAAGGACCACCAGAAGTTGCCTAAGGTGTGTGGGTTCCCATCCACAGGGACTGGTTTTTTGGCGTTGTTATACAAGGCAGTGACCTCCAGGGAAAGTTGAATCCCAAGTTATTGCAGGTTGAAGTTTTTGGTTTTGGAACCGCCCAACGGAAGTAGTAAAGGCAGTGTGAGCAGGAAACTATCATGGAGTCTTAGAGAATAAATCCTAATGATATGATATTGAGTTAATAATATTCCTTGGTTATTGCTGGCTGATCAGGCCTGCAATCTCCTGAACGAGTGTACAGCAAAGGCTAAATAAAAAGGCGAATGGAATGATTTCAGGGCTCCAGGAGAATCAAAGCCCTCTCAGAATTTGAGATTCTCTCAGGGCTAAGACCAAGACCTTCTCCAAGTGGCCCATATTTATTTAGTTGTCAGAAGAAGGGGGGAATTACTCAAGGACTTCTTCAAGTAAGGTATTAAGTTAACCCACCCAAAAGTGAGATGCCTGAGACTACAGTCTTTATCTAGTTGAGGTTGGATCCAGGTGTCCTTGGCTGTGATCTTGTCTTATCCTTTGAGGCTTTCCGGCTTCATCTGCCATTAAAGGCCTTAGTAGGGATTAGTGACTGGCAGAGGTTCACTTACTATGGGTCTACCCCCCATTTCCAGACAAGGAGCCTACACCTTGGACAGACTCACAAGTAAACAAGGAAAGTCAGTTGGTTAATTTAAGTCCTGCTCAGGGCTGCTTCATAGTGGTCTCCATCAGTATGATCTTTTTCTTTCCATGTGTGCTACCTAGTAGTTCCTTATGAGTGATAAATCAGTAGTTTTCCACTGAGGGAGAGGCTTGGTTTTATCTCTGCTAGTCAACTAATGTGCAGTGCCAGAATTGCAGCAAGCTGAAAGGACAAGTTCAGTGTTAGGGTTAATTTTCCAGGTCCTGCTGAGACTTGGATTATAATGTTTTTTGACCTCTGTATGAATTGTAAGGTTGACTTGTCTCAGAAGGATGTCTGAGAGAAACTAACAAATATTTTACTTTTTCTCAGTTTCATATCAGTTCATAGTGTTTGTCTCGTGTCACTCCCCACATCAAACCAGTACATTCAGTTGCAGTAATGGAAATCAGAACCCTTTAGCCTTGCTAGGATGCTACTGTAGGAGTTCCACAAGGTTAATTATGATATCTCGTTAGGCTGGCCTTATACATGAAAGGAATCTTCTGCTATAACTTTGTTTCTGTGACCTGCTATAATTATGTGTGATTTCCTATGTGCATTCCTGTGATAGATAGCACACATGGTATAAATTGGTTTCTTACTCTTTTGTAAGCACTTTCATCAATCTCAAAAACTAAGTCAAGCTGTATCAATAATGTATTATAAAATTCTCTCATTTAATATATAGTCTATAAGAAATAGGTGTAGAAGTAGAAGGAAAAATTATTTTCTACTAGATTACCATTGATCTGACCACATTATATTTCTCTAGGCATCCATTTCTTTAAGAATTTTGTCTGCCTATGAAAACACAGAAATCATAATCATTAGGGTACATATGCAAGGTGACTTAGACTGTATTTGTTTCATTGCTTTTGGAATCATTGATGTCTTAGTTTCATGGACGTGTCACTTTCCAGTGACCATAAAGATCAAAGTTTAGTGGACAATGGTAGAGAACCATGAGGAACCTAGTGTTTAACTGTGGGACCCAGCTGTTTGGTCCAAGCTACAAGACAACTTTTAGGAGTTAGGGATTTTGGAGAGGAGGCCTGGCACTTAGCAGGGATCCTGGTTGGTAGCTTTGGCTGTTGCCTGTCTCTGAGTCTGTTGAGAGCATCTTAGCTTCACAGTGTGTTAATCTGTGATAATTTAACTTAATATTTCCTTCTAGAACTCTTGTTCAGAGCCCCAGGGGCTGACATGATGGGATGTGATCCTGAACTTCAAGCCATGCTTTACCTCCAAGACAGGATGCAGTGGAAAGAGCTTGGGCAGTGGCAAGGAAGGCCTACTGCTTGCTCATGGGATTTTAAGCAAGTCCCTTGAACCCTTGTGACCTGTTATGTCTCCATCTATAAGTCAAAAGTAGTAACATCCAGCTTTCCTCCTGGGTAGAAAAGCAAATGAGAGTAGGTATGTAGCATAGGCTTAGTGGAGCTATTACTGCTGTCTTCTCAAACACTTCTCAAGTTTGTAGGTAGTATTTCCATATTTCTAGTGACTTCCGACAGTTTTCTATCACAATAGCATAAGAATCTTTTAGAGGAAGATTTCAAAGACCATTGAATCCAACTCTCCCCTTTTCCGATGAAATGGAGCTCTAGAGAGTTAAGTTTCTGGCCCAGAGTCACCCACCGCAATAGAGGTGGAGTTACAGACTGTTACTTAACTAATAGGGCAGTAAGAGAATGAATATTGGAAAAATGAAGTAGGAAAATAAAATACAAATCTTTTTGATAGCCATGAAGAAGGCTTTTGTAAAGGCATTTCTCTTGTTTTGGGTGATGTTATCTTCTTAAATGTCTGACTTTTGTATTGCCCAAAGTGGCCATGACAGTTAAACCTCACATCTCTGCTCATTTGTGATTGGGAGAGCTAGACCTGAACTATTAGCTTTTGGGGGATGCCTCATCATAGAATTGCTAAATGATTGGCAAATTGGTGTCATTTAGAATGTCACCTTTTGATAAGCATTGATGAGGATCTAGAGTTATTTTAGAGGAAAAGTACTGGAGTGTGATCATACTTTTCCCAGGTATCATGAACCCCAGGCAAGCTCCTTATATGCTTAGAAGCTTAGAAGCAGCTTCTCTCATTGCCTGCACACCTGCATACCACTCCCTAGGACCTCAGTTTTGACAAGCAGGTGACCCTGGGCTGGGGATATGGCTCAGGGGTATAGCACATACTTAGTATAAGCAAGGGCCTGGGTTCAATCCCCAGCACCAAAACAAACAAACAAACAGAAAACAACCAGAAAGGCAAATGGCCTTGAAAAGTTTGATTCAGCAAAGCCTATGCCAGGATGTAAAAAATCAAAACAAACTTGACAACATGATTATCTTTTTGGATAACAATTGTAAAATCTATCACCTTTGTCACATAATACATGAAGTTTCCCACAATCACAAACACTTACTGCAAATGTTTCCACAAAACATTTATATGAAGCTAGTTTTAGTGAAAGGCTAACATTAGTCATATAGCTCGCAGTATTTTTCAAACTAACTCTAAAACTTCTAGTTGTTTTGTGGGAAGAAGGGCTGGGGAGGACAATATTTATAAGCCATTCAGGGAGATTTGCACCTTCCAGTGCGCTGAAAATACCCTAGGCCTGCCTTGATAGCTCCCTGATTAAGGGTCTCTGAAAAACACACAAATCTCTTGTTTTCCTGTGGTACACAGCCGTGAGCTGTCTGATAAGGGGCCGCAGGGCAACTGTACAGGCCTCGCTGGTGAGGGCACTTTCAAGTGACCCCTGTCTCTGTGCTCTGCCCTGCCCTCCACAGTGTGTGCCTCCCGACGAAGCCTGCACCTCTCTGGATGCCGCCATGATCTGGGCCATGATGCAGAACAAGAAGACGTTTACCAAGCCGCTGGCCGTGATCCACCAAGCACAACCCAAAGGTGCGTTTTGGGAGGTTTCCTCAGGGAATAGGGCTCTCGGGGCTCTTCTGAAGAAGATCCCGTACTAAAATCAACATCCAGTTTTATTCAAAAGACGTGTTAGTAACCTTAGAAGAGGATTCTTTCTTAAGGACTCTTTTCTTTATAGCTAGTTTTCCTACTGCCATTGTGACTGAGCGGTGATACCTTTGCAAATTATTTCTCTAAAATATTAGACCACGGTCAAGGTTGTCTGCTGTAATGCCACTGTCTCTTATGTTCACATATGCTTCAATGAGTGTGCAAGAAATGGTTACAGCTGCCCCTGGTGTACTGATGCTTGCACACAGTCCATGGCCCACCTTTCTGTGACCTACTCCCAATAGCAGTGTGGGCTATAAGCCACTATAATGCTTTCAAAATCACAGAAGCCTTTGAGAGGATGTAAGGGGACTGTGTCCATCTTAGGTGTTCCAGCAAGAAGACGATTGAGAACCACTGCCTCAATGCATTTAATAATTCAGTTTTCAGAATTTTACACAATTGTATTTGTTACTTGAAGCCAAGGGGTCTCTTCCTACATGTGCAGAACACCCGTACCTTCTAGGAAAAAGGAGGGAGGTGTCCTGAGAAGTGTGGCATCAGGACCTGGGAGGACAGGCAGGGCAGAGCGAGATCTGGCATGGGTTAGGCCAGCTGATATCTGGGCAATTATAGTGTCCCTGTCTAGAAACAACCTGCACTCTCCAGAAGCATTGCTATCTAAGGGTGTTAAGCTGAGAGAAGACTGGGAGCCTAAAAGTGGATTTTGTGCTGCCAGGGTGAGATATTCCAGGGCTGGGAGCTGCGGGCCACCTCCCCCCACCCTGAGGGCAGAGAGGAGCCAGTGAACAGCCTGGGTCCAGCTGCTGAGCGCTATTACCAGCAGGGAGACCTGCTGACTGCTGCTGACGTCAGATGTAGGTTTGGGGTCCACCTTGGGATGCACTTGTGATGTAAGCATTGTTGCATTGGGGTGTGGCGAGCCTAGACAGTGGACTTGGCTCTGCAGCAGAGAGACCGACCCGAAGTGTGTGGGTCCTGGCGGTTTCTTGTTCGGCTGAGCGAGCTTTGTGAGGACAGCTGTGCTGTTCCGGTTTTCATATGTAGCTCTGGTGGCTTCTCCCCCTCACAGGGTCAAGTTCACCATGAGAGGTAGGTGAAGGTAGGGGCAGGATGTTGGCTGTGGGTCCAGAGCCCACAACTCTGCTCTTGGCTTTTCCGCTGACCGTGAGACCCCAGAGTACTCATTCACCTCTTTGGGTTTCATTTTTGTCACCTGGAAAGGAGGAGTTCGGCCCAGATGACTTCCAGAGCCCTCTCAGCTGCAACACTCAGCTGTGCAGTTGGAAGGAGCAAAATAATTCATCCATTTCCCAGCCATCCTAAGTTGTTATGAGAGGACACGCTAGATGTTTAGTAGTTCCTCAGCAACGTTTTTGTTGTTGTTTTACTTTCATTGGTTGGTTTTCAACCATTTGAAAGTTATAACAGAGAGTCTTTCTTTACATGGATTGTCCAAATAGTAGTTCCTTTTTCTTCGGTTCAGGAGAAAAAAATAATAAATTAACTGTGTTGCAAAGAAATCACAATTAGGCCACAGCTGGCTCTATTTTGTACTATGGAAGCAGTTTAACAATAGCAGCAGCTACCTTGTACTCCATCTGTTACTCTTACCTCTGTCCAGAGAGGTAATTCTGTGGTAATTGAAGGCAGCAGCTCGCTTTTTCCCGTGCCAGACAATAATTACCCATTAATACTGCAGGAGTATAACTTCCAGCAATTCATTCATTCTTTTAATTCTGGTGGGATTTTTTTTTTTTTTTTTTTTAGTAATTTCTCTTGTAAATTAGGTAATTACTTTTATTCAAACTTTGTGTAATTATACTAAAAGTTCACTGTTTTCTTTACATAAAAGTTCAAGAGGAAAGTTTTACCAAGTATCAAAGCAATTTCATGAGATTTGTTGAGGCTAGATTTTAGTGGAGAAGCGTGTAGGTGAAGAAAGTTTATTGCTTAGATTTGTTAAACAGATTGAGAAAGTTAAACTTTAGGCTAGCTTCCCAGGGCAGTATGCAAATTCACTGTCTAACTTTGCACTCAATGGATAGGTTTTTATGGCAGTTTTCAACTCTGTAAGGACTCCTCTCACCTTTTATATTTATTTTGTTTGACTCTAAAATCATTTCGCATCGGGGCAGAACATTGGAGTCTGCACTTTCTCTTCACAGGGAATTGGAATAGTCATTTGAAAAGAGAAGGTGACACTGGCCTAATAGCATTGGCTTATTTGAATAATAAATGGGTCATGAATATTCTTCTGGGGAGTAGGCAGATCACATATTGAGATTAAGTTTTGGGGTACAATTTTCACAATCCCCAGGAGATGCTTCACTAGCCTAGACTACGTTGGTGCCCTTTGAAGGCCATGCCAAAGTGCAAAGCTCCAGGGCTCCTTGCCCATTTAGTTCATCTTGTTTTGAAACTGGTGGGTTTTCTAGGATAGCAGATAAAGGCAGAGAGCCAGGCAGAGAAAGCGATGATCACCACAGCCAGTAAAAACATGGACATCATTCAGGTGGTGTTTTCTTCCCCCAGGGACAGGGAGAATAGGTCATTAAGAATACATAAGTAATTTTGAGTTCTTCTTCCAGGGCACTGTTTGTCATGGAGCACATCTTTACCACCTTTGATCTCAAATCCTTTGGGAATCAATATTCTTTTCCTACTTAAACTTTCAGCAATAAATGAAGGTGCTGGTGGTAATGATGATCCTACATTTATTAAGCATTTACTTGGTACAGGACTCTGTGTTAAATGCTTTATTGGATCATTGTATTTAATCTTCCTGGCACCTCTGTATAGAAAGAAGTTAAATAACCTGCCCGTGCTCAGGCAGCTTATAAATGGCAGGGCTGGGATTCAGATCCACATCTTTGATCCTACAGCTTCTGTTCTTAAACCCTATGCCTCATCCCAAATGGAGGTCCATTCTAGTTTTTAATAAAAACTACCCTTTTCCCCGCTTCAACCCATGTCACACTGGTATTCAAGATACCACCCAAATATTACGGGTGAAAGGAAGGAAGAATTTTGAAAGGAAGATGAATTTTTTTGAAGTTTGTTTTTCTAATGGGTTAAGATGTTAGGAAATGTGTAAACTGTTTCAAAGTGTAAAAAAAAGTGTATTAAAGTTCAGAGAAAGTTCTGTGACTTTTGGATTATAACTCACAAAAAAACCCCAGAAAACATGAATAGTTTATGCATTCTATGGTTTATGGCAAAACAATTAAAATACTTGAGGTGGTGCCATCCTGCCATATTTTGTGAAATTTTTTGAAATACAGTCATGCTGGTACTGTTTGCTTTGGATGCTGTGACCACTCTTTACAGCATTTGAGAACGGTTGGGCTTACACAAATAAAGATGGCTATGCTACGTCAGTGATGAATTTTAAAAATGGTGAGAGGGAGGATAATCTTTCCTCTGAAACAGGGTGCACATATACAAAGACATGTGGACATAAAAGAGCAATAAATGTCCTCTCCCAATTTTCTTTGATTCATATGCAGTACTGGATTCTTAGCAAGTTAAATGTTTGAAATACTGAATTTTCTCCAAATTTCCACCACATAACTTTAAAAAATAAAGGCACCTGCATATCATGCACACTCAGGGAATGTTAATTTCCTTTCCTCTCAACCTCTCAGCCAAAGTAGCAGGGTCTTGGGAGGTGGGTGAGGTGGAAGGAAAAGTTGTGAGTGTGAAATGGAAATTAATCCAAGAGAGGCATTACTTTTTGGAGTACACATTTGATTTTTCCAGAACAAAATACTCTAAAGGACCAGCCGGCTTTTGTCCTCAAGGTAGAGTTGAAGGGGTATAGTGGAACGATAGAAATGTTTCACTGACAGAATAACACATCCAGTCTCTGTCCAATTGGGAGGGTATTACAGGGATTTTTATACTTGTATGTGCTTTGCAGTTTAGAAACTTTCTTGTTTTGGAAAGTTTCAAACATTAAAAAAAAAAAAAAGAGTGAACCATTATGAGCCTACCATCTGGGTTTACCAGCTATCTATGGCAGATCTTACTTTATCACTTCCTGTTGTCCACCGAATTATTTGGAGGAAACCCAGACAGTTAATTTCATCCATAAATGTGCCAGTGTGCATTTCTAAAGGATAAGAAGCATCAAAAGATCTCAAGCAGGGAACCAATGATTAGATCACTTAAGAAGATGATTCTGAAAGCAGCATGAAGGTTGAGTTGCTGGAACAAGCACGCCGTGTTGGGTGTATATATACTATTTATGATTATTTAGTCCACAGTAATGTTTCCTGAGCCCTTATTATATGTTAGGCGTATAGTTGACAGATATCCTATCTTTAAGGCCTTTCCAGCCTAGTGGAATTTTTCTTGATTGCTACAGCATCAGCATTTTGGGCTAGGTACCTCTTTACTGAAGGTGGGGGACTGTTGTGTGCATTGTAGACCGTTTACAGCACCCGCTAGATGCCAGTCACAACCCTGGTAGTTGTGACAGCCCATGATGTTTCTAGACACTGCTGCATTTCCAAAGTGACCCCCAGGTGAGAACCACTGTCTAGTGGCAGGATACAGATCAGTGGACAGGCCTTTGCAGTGCATGCCATAGATATTGAAAGAACCCAAAACTAAGAGTTCAGAAACAGTGAAGTTAGATTAGTAAAAATGTGTCTTCAATAGGGTCCATACAAAGCTTCCTGAGTCTTCAGGAGCCTTTCCCTCCCCATGTTTCCCTCTTTGCCAAATGTCAATAGATGTGGTACCAGTTTGACGCCTTGTTTCCCTGTAGGCTTGCTCAGGCCTATGGTGTTTAGAACTGAACGAAAACTGTAGGCCAAAAGCTGTGGTTGGTTACTCATGCATAACCCCAGGAATATACCATTTATGAAAACCATGCCTAACAATCTGAGGAAGGAAATTTTGGTTGTAGAGGTAGACCAAAATTTGCTCAGAGTGTATGAAATGATTTAGTTGAGAATGTTGATTATAGCTTATTCTTTCTGCAAAGAAATCTATTAAAATTCTCTCTGCAGTAACATCTAGGAGCCCTCTCTTACGATCTTCTCCTTAAACCCAAAGTAAATATTGTTACCTCCACTCTTCCTTTCAGTGTGCCAACTCAATTATAGGGTTCTGATGGAGGTGAAGCCATTTTAGTTAAACTTGGGGGTGGGGTTAGGGGGTTCAGGCACTGAAAACTTAGAGGATAAAAATCCTTTAACTTCAGCTCTGCAGCCTGTGCTTGTTACTGTTTATGCATGGTCATGAAGAAACTTTACTAGAGAGAAACAACTGTTTCTGTTTAGCTCTCTGAGAAGGCCTCTATTTGGGGTGGGGAGAGATTAGATCATAAGTCCATTAAGAATTTTAAAACAGTGCCATCCATCACATAGGCCTGGCCATAAAACCTACATTCTTACATGTGAAGTCTCTTTAGGGAAGAATCATCATTTTTAAACCACTTGGGGATTCTGAGTGACAAAGTTGAACCACAGGCGGTCGATTAGATGGAAGTCTTCCCAGAAGTGTGTATACTTCTCGCATGATGCGCACCATTGAGACCTTTAAATGCCTTTGGACTTAGTTCAGTAAATCAAACTACTATTTCTTGAGAGTGGGTGAATTTTGTGGTTAGATACCCCTGCTTCTTAGGGCTTGGAGAGTTTAAAATGAGAATAATAAGTGAAGGTTTTTTGTCAATTGGTGAAACACTCTCCAAATGTAAAAGTGTAAGGTGTCTCAACTGTTACTGCCTCCAGCAAGGCTGATGGGACCAAACTCCCAGGAGAATTTTATTTTGTGGTTACTGTAGGGAGTATGTGTTCTACAAACAGTCCTCTCTCCTTTCCCCTGTTGACCTTCTTTATTTTTTATAAACATCAGTGTGCTGCTGCTTTTTCGCAAGTTGTTTTCGCTTCGCCTTAGATTTAAACAGAAGGTGTGTATTCCTTCTTTAGTCAATAAAAGTGGAGATGAAAGAGGGAGAGGCACTAAACACATACTGCTTCTAAACTCTACAGAGAAGGGTACTTTTTCTAGAAGGGGCCAGAGAGAGAATAGTTTTCATTTGTGGCACACACAGGTCCTCTCTCAACTGCTCAGTTTTGTTGTAGAATGAAAGTAGCCGCAGACAATATGTTCAATGTGGCTGTGACCGCATCAAACTTCATTTTGGATTGAATTTGAATTTCATGCAAACTTTCATGTATTTGCCAAGAAATAGTCTTCTCAGGCCAGATGTGGTAGTGCACACCTGTAATTCCAGCTCGCAGGAGGCTGAGGCAGGAAGATTGCCAAGAGTTAGAGCCATACTAGGCTACCTAGTGAGTTTAAGGCCAGCCTGAATTATAAAGTGAGATTTTGTCTACAAGAAAAGTCGTTGTCTTTGATTTTTAAGATATTATTTCAAAGTACAAAATCCACTCTTAGCTCATGGGCCATGGTGTCCTGGCCCCTGGTCTGTGCGGTGTTCGCTGTTGAGGATAGCGAACGCTGTGTACAAGCAGTAACTTAGCCAGCGTTCCCTGGCTAAGGACAGAGCGACACTCAGCTCTCAGTCACTCAGCTCACGGGGCAGGAGTGGTTCCGTCCCTGCCCTGATGTTTTCCAGCTGTGACCTTGGGCTAGTCCCAGGATATGAGTCCGCCTCCCTCACAACACTGAGGTGAACCCCAAATGAAATCTTGGCTGGGTAGCACTTTAGGAACGGGAAACATTCTAGAAGTATTGAGACTCACGAGTGTTTTAATAGTTTTATTTCCTCCTTTTTCAAAAAGTACATCAACATTTTAATTGCCCCTCACTAACAGTTCTGGAGGCACTGTTCTACACCAGCCTGGGCTCTGAGGGTACATGGATGAGTAAGAGCTAGACCTTGCCCAACAAATCTGGCAAATTAGGTTGTAATATGACGCAAATATAACAGAAGAGGGGTGAAATGAACAGGGTGGGAGAGACCAGACCTGCTGGGGGTGGCTGGAGCTGGGGAGGGTCAGGGAGGGGCTCCCAGCAAACACTGCCAACAAGGCAGGTCTGGAGGAAGAAAGGGTGATGACATGGAGCATCATGGGTAACCTGGGGAGTATAAATAAATTATGAGGAGCTCAGCGTGGGTAAAGGACCTCCTCAAGAAAGCAGGCAGGGAATACTTCGTATCTGATGCTGAACAATTTGGATTTTTTCCCCCTCTGAACAAAGAAGAGTCATTAAGGGGTTTAACTTGAGCAATACATGATCTGCTCTGGACTCTAGAAAATTCCCTCTGGGGACAGATGTGGAGGAGGAAATATTTGTGGGGAGGTGGTTGATGGAGACAAGGGGGCCTCTGTGGCAATGCAGATGACTGATGAAAAGGAGCAGAGCTATAGGACAGCAGCCTTCCAAGGACAAAAGCATAGAGACGCAAAGTCTGTAAATTCCTAGCAGTATATTTTAGAAGTAGAATAATATTGTGAATACAGCAGAGAGGCCTGACATTAAATGCATTAGATCGTATTGTAAGTAAATGTTAAGGTACACACACAGACTCAAATTCCCTGTTAGGTGCTTGCCTTCGTATTTTCTTCAAGTTGGAAAACCTTAACAAAGTACAGTGCCTAAAATTTATGGGTAACCCACATTGCAGTTCTGACTTCTAAAGACATTGACTATGCCTTCACAAATTTATTAGTAAATCAACTAATATATATTTACTAACAAATACAAAATGTTGACTTCTGTTGAGATTTTAATGACCTTTCGCTTAAATCTTGGTTTCCTCATGGAATGCATTATGACTTATGCTTTTGTTTCAGAAAAAGTTCCAAGCATTAAGGAATCAAATCCAGTTCCTCCACGTAAGTCTTTATGCAACTCTTTCAAAATAAGGCCTCCTGGGCTTTTCTAGGATTGAGCTGGTTAGTGAATACTTGCCAAACTCTGAGTTTTGATAAGGAGACCTCTGCTCTTGTTCTCTTTTCCTCTTCCTTTTTTTTTTCTATTTTCTTTTTTCCTTTCCTCTGTCCTTCCTTCATCCTCTTCTTTCTTTTTTCCTGTCCATATTTGACACTTCAGAATATTAATTTCTTAGCCCATTGGCACGTGTGGCGTGAATGGGAGCATGGTAAACTTAGTTTTAGAGAGTTAAATTTGTTATTCACGTGCTTGTATTGGTTGTGATCTGAAAACATTAACATACAGTTGTGGCTTACTTTAAGTGGTAGCAGCAGTACTTACCTGCTCAGTGAAGAGGTGCTAAGGGATCTAGTTGCAGCATGTTCAAGACCATCTCTAGGGGGCTGGGGATTTAGCTCAGCGGCAAAGCGCCTGCCTGGCAAGCGCAAGGTCGTGAGTTCGGTTCCCGGTACCGGAGAAAAACCAAAAAAAAAAAAAAAAAAAAAAAAAAAAGACCATCTCTAGTCCAAGGGGTCTGTTGTTTTAGGGGTTTTTTTTCAGACTGCAATAATAATAATAATAACAACAATAATAATGATAATAAAACACAATACCAATTACTGCAGAATGAGTTGAAAATCCTATAGGTCGATTTCATCATTTTGTACAGAACTATTAGGAAATATTTTAGTGAGTTGCCCCTAGTTATTACTGGCACGAGTCAGTGTTCCACCCTGGCTCTTGGCTTCCCACCCAGAGTTCTTCTGCGTAATTTGACCTTGTGTGGAGAATCTGTGCTTTTTCTTTTCCTTCTCTGAGATTCCCAAGATGAGTCTCCAGGGCTGACCCCATCACGTGTAACAATCAGTGTGGAGAGTGCCATATCAAGCTCTTTACATACCATTACCTCGTGGATCATTTTAATAAGACATAGACCAGCATCATGATCTCAGAAAGAGAGACCCATGTGGATACACATTTTCCTACACTTAATCTGATTTTTATAAGTGACATTTCCATCTTCAGAATTTTAAAAATATTTTCACTAAAAAATTATAATCATAGTCCATCTTTGCATCTGTAAGCATAAAAGGTCAAGTTGCCTTTTAATATCTGTTTTAGGGACTGGATTAAACGGGTTGATGGCTTGGCTCACAGTAACCGCCATAGATCTCTACCCAGTTCTTATTCCCCCTGGGGGACCCTCATCTATTTTACAGTCTTATTTTGTATACTTTCTGCCTCTAGTAGGTAAAGTGATCTTTTTCACAACTTAAACGAGCACAACAAAGGACACAGGAGTAGACGAGCGGTGACCAGAAATGGGAGTTTGGGTCATTCCTCTCTCCCCTGTGACGTACTTTCCCCAAGAAGACTCAAGGGTCAGATTTGTCTACAGCTGAACCTTTTAGATTGATGTGAACTGAAAAGCAAAAATTTAATTTATATAGAGATCAGATGGGGTTGATTCTGACTGGAGAGGAAAGTTCAGGCCATATGTCAGTAGTGGGGAGATCTTATGCCTTTAGTCTGTATTAAAAAAAAAAAAAAAAAAACTTCAAATTTTTATTCTGCAGAACTCTTTTCTCCCTTAGAAACTGATTTCAACTTTTTATAAGTGACTCAAAGATAGTTGTCTTAAACCAAAGGAAATATCATATTTCTGTGGTCTGGAATTAATTTCACATATAAAAATCTTTGCCAAATGGACAGACAGTTGATTCTGTTTATATATTTTGCTGACCATGAAACTGATGTCACTGTCCACTGAGAAGTAATTTCGGTCCCCGTCATAGAAAGATCACAGCTGGGAAAGTGTTAAAAAGCTTTTGCTACCTAGTTGTGAAGATTGAGGGTTTAATCGGTAAATGTTGTAATGCACAGTAATAGTTTATTTTTACTGTTTTCTTCGCATCTACTTTTATCCGTTGTACTTTTCAATGTTAAAAATAGTGTGTATACTGTGTGTATTTTCTGTGCCACATGTTTCATTGTTTGAAGTGTTCGGTGAAAAAGAGGCAATCAATCGCATTTCAACAGTGGATGTTCACTTTATTTTCCAAAATATCTTAACCTGTGGATTTTCAGGCTACCCTCCATTCAAACAGTAGGTCCTCAGATTGGGGCACTGAGACCACAGGTTTTTAAAATTAGTTTGTTGTTCGAAATAAGTTGCAGACTGAGAATATTTGGAAAGCTGATCATTTTTCCTTTGACCAAAAATTTGCAAGTAACAAAATGCAGTGTGTTTTACTGGGACTCTTATTACCGTCTCAGATTTTATTAGCTAGTGCTAAGCTTTTATGACAGTGCCTGTAAAATAAATATAAAATTGCTATGTATGATGCAGACTAACATAGAGTATGTACATTGGTTTCCCTCTCTTATAGAAATTTTCCATGGTCTGGACACCCTGACCGTGATGGGCATTGCCTTTGCAGCGTTTGTGATCGGAGCACTCCTGACGGGGGCCTTGTGGTACATCTACTCCCACACAGGTTAGTGTGACCGTTCACCGTTGCTTGTTGCATGTCCTGTGTGCTTACCGCACAGCAGACACTCGGTGCTGTGTTGGATGAAGGAGTGAAAGAAAGCTCATTCCCACTATTTTTACATTTTTGGCATAAATTACATTTTTTAAAAGTGCAATTTGCTTTAAGCAATGGTAGAAAAGTAATATATAAACTATGTTCATGACAGCTGTGATTTTGGCGTTTGGCTTTTAATGAAGCTGTTTTGTCATTAAAATGTAAAGAACGTTCGTGCAGATAAACTGGAAATATAAGCCATTGTCCAAAGCTAGACTTCAGAGTAGACTTACAGACGTGCAAGAAGGGAAAAAGGAAGCCGGGAGTATATTACCACATCTGCAGTATTGAGCACTGTCCATCAAGTGCCTAGTCAGTGACTTAAACTAGAGTTTCTCAACCCTTCAATAAGTCTAAGGCTCTCATATCTTTCTAGAAAGCGATTTAAATTTCTAAAATTTATTTTCATGAATTGAGGAAAAATGAAACTGTTTCAACAAAGAATTTTACTTTTAAGCTGTGTTCCCCCAACCCCTAAAATTGTCGTGTGCCCTGGCCCCCTCCCCCACCCCCTCTGGAAAGCCCCTAAGGTTGAAGCACACAGGCAAAACTGACAGCCTGTTCTGGTGCACGACAGAGCACGGGCCTAGCGGGGGTGGGGCCTCACTTTGGTAGGGGAGGAACCTGTGGATTGCCTTCTGTTCCTTCTTAATTTCTTTGCCAACATGGGAAAAAAGAGCACACGTTTTGAAGCGTCTAGAGAACAAGCTGGCCCTGTTTGTTCATGGGTATTTGTGGTGTATACTACAAACCTGGGCAAACTCTGATCAGTGAGAGGTAAGGGGCAGGTCTAGCCTGTGTGCAGAACTTCATTTCGTTTTTCACTGAACCAATGAGTGCTATGATCTTGTGCTCCCCTTGGGCCATTCAAGTAACCCAGCTGAAAGGAGAACCAGTTAAAGGCAAGAGAGCCGCCAAAGGACGTCTTGGGGCCTGATATCTTAGTTCTCTTGATTGCTAGACAAAACCTCAAATTGTTGAGAAAAAAAAAAAGACACATGATCCAGAGATCCTGTGTTAGTAAAAAACCTCAGGCTGTTGTTCATGATTTTTTTTTACCTCTATTACTATAGCCCACGGCTAAAGTATCTATGACACAAGGAGAGGGGCAAACTCTTGCACCTGGCATAGGAAATTCATCCAATACACAGCTAACGTCTTGGCAAAAATTTAGCAGAGTTTAATAGTGGCGCTTTGAGTCCTCAAATTGTTGTTCCTATTAGGCAAGCTTTGAGTGAAATACATTTCATATGAAAGAGAAAAGAAGACTCTTCAGTGTAATGATTCTCAGTATTATATAAACGTCTATGAATCAGTTTAGGAGCATGCTTCCTCGTGAGCAGTTTATAGAAGAACCAGAAGACACAGCTTTTAGCAGAGCAGAATTTATAGTGTAAGTAATTTTAATCACAGAAACACTGACATGTTCAGATCTCAAACTAACAGCTCTTCAAAAGTTTTTCCAACCCCCTGTGTGGCTGAGAGGTCCTGGGGCCTTTGGCAACCTCTGTTGTCTGTTGAGAATGAACTTGAAAGTACTCCAAGAAGACCGAGTAGCCCTAAGGATTTTATATGGGGGCAGTCACCCCACAGAAGCTTTCCATGTGTCTGTCCAGCCATTGACTGGTCATAGTTACAGCTGCGCTTGGGCCAGGAAGCCAGGTCTAGGCAGAGTAAAATATAGGGCAGCCAAATGGCACCCATGTGGGAACACACCCCGCTGACCCCTCCCCACCCCCCATGATCCTGGACTCTTCCACAACCAGTGCACAAACCTGCTAAAATGCAAAGCTTGGTTTACAGCACATGGTGAGGGTCACCAGCTTGGAGGGTTGTTGTTACGGACCCCTTCCCCTCCATCCAGGGCTCCAGAAGGAATTTTAGTATAGTTAATACTGAGATAGGTTTGTAAATAGATTAAAGAAAAGCCAAGACCTACCCAGTGATGCTTTTTAGCAAAATAGGCCAGTTCAGAAAGTAACAGGTTTATAGACACTATCACTTGGGTTTAAAATTTGTTGGTATCACTTATAAGACAGCTTCAAATTTTTTATTCAAAGCTATAGGCTCTGGTTCATTTTAAAAACTGCTCATGAGGAGTACCAGGGTCAGACAAGCATGAAGAAAGCTTATTTCAGAACCAAATGACAGTTTCTTTTCAGAACCCCCTTGGTTTCTTACCTGGGTCAGGGGGCAACAAGTTTAGATGAGTAAGGAAGGACTAATGCAGTGGCCAAGGGGGAGTGATGAGAACTCAAAAACTGACGCAGTTCATTTGATTTCCATGGTAAGCTGAGTTGCAGGACTCAGACTTCATATAGTATATTTAGGGGTCCAGGCAGCACCTGCCTCTGTGTCAAGAGCCACCTTCATTTGGTTGGCTTTCCCTTTGCTCATGTTTTCCACTCTGCCTGCAGCACATGGCACTACACCAGATTACATACTCAGATTGTGAATATCCGCTTACATACCTGGAAGTTGTGTTGGTCTAAAAAGGTAGGGACCCAACTTTATAATATAACCTCTGGGCAAGTGAGAGATACCTCTGTAAGGCAATATTAATTCTGTCTGGAAAACTTCATTTTTAAAACTTACGTCTCTCCCAAGATGATGCAGAGAGAAAAGGTGGTTGAGAGTAGAAATTTGCCTGCCTAGAGCCATAGAAGCTTTATGGTTCTGGGGAGCCTTGCTACTTTAGGGGTCCCTAGCCCCTGGTTCATGAAAGTCCCTAAAGTAGCAAAATTATATCTGTTGTTTTATTGAGGACACAAGCTCTGTTTTTTTAGAAAAACTTTAGTTTTATCAAAGTAGCACAGGCAGATAGTCCAAAGGCTGAAATAGTTCTATGAAACTTGTTATGAAAAAGTCAGACCCTGCTGGCCTCCTTCCCTTCTCTCCCTCCCTAGAGCACCATCTTTTTACTCTTAGCTGATCTTTTTGGCCATTTATCCATTTCTCTAAATAACACGATATATTGCTGCCTTTTGATTTTTCAGTTTGGGACCTTTTCTGTCGACTTCCTCCAGTAGAAAATGAGGGTTTCCTGTCTTTTACCCCTGTCCCTAATCATGTGTTCATTCCCCTTTTGCTCCCCTTCCCACATTGTCCTAGTAGAATTATACTGAAACTTTGGTTAAGATTTATATTTACTGCTTAATTATATTATTACGACAACCTAAGGCTAATCGCAATTTAATCAGGTAAGATAACATTTCTTCTATGTGTCTTTTAATTTTCCCTGAGATTAATAGTCTTTCCCTGCCCTCTCACCTCCTGGTTAGATTTTTATATATTTATCATTAATTTATTTGCTGACTCTGATAGTTGTCTTAATTTCCCCTTCATGTTCAGATATATCAGGTATTGCACTGACTGATTCCTTCTCTTTAGTAACTCTTTTCTCGAGGCTTTCCTTACCTGCTTCTGTCTGAACTAGTGCGCTGTAAGTCTAGACACTTTTGTCCTCTGTCCTCTCTTCCATCATTATTCTAGGGGATCTCTTCACTTTCAAGTTGCAGGTGTCCTGTATCCTGTATCCCATGCCTTCCTCCTTCCTGGGTTAAAACTTAGAAATACTTTTTACATCTGGCGTGTCTGAAAATATTCTCATGTTACAGAAATACTTTGCAGATAGTCTGGCAAGGTGTAGAATGCCTGATTATAAATAATTTTCCTTATGAATTTTGAAAGCAGTGCTCATTGTCTTCTAGCTCAAGGCTGATCCCCTTTATAGGTGACCTGTTTGTGTCTTTGTGAAGGACATTTTACAAACATAAGATCCCTTGACTTATGTGTATTTTCATGCATTGTGCTTGGCTTTAATTGGACCCTTTCAATCTAGAAACCCATGACCTTCAGTGCTGAGATATTTTAGAATCCATTCTTCTTCTCGTCTTCATCTTTAGTTCTCTAGTGAGATTTTAATACTATTTTGAAAAATTTTAAAGTCCGAGAACATTTTTTTCTAATGAATTTCTTTTCTTAAAAGAATGTCCTGTTCTTGCCTCCTGGGTACAGTATCTTATCTTAACGTAGGATTATTTAAGAAGGACGAGGTTCTGAGCTTGTGGGTAGGACTGTGAACTTCTCTAGGGTATCTGACCCAGCCTTTTTATTGATGAGCCCCTAGTGTTGCCTCCTTGGAACTTTCCTCTTTAGCTTATCAGGGTTTTCATAAAACAAGCCTTTCTGCATCCCACCTGGAAGGAGTAGGTCTGGCTACTGGGAGACCTTTTTAATGGGCACTGATTAAAGTAAATTTACAGGGTAACACATTATATGTGGCAAATAGACATCAGAAAGCAAATACTCAGACTTCCTGGGTAGAGCACGGTATTGGCACTTGTACTGAAAGTGAATAACCAAGCACATACTGTGTTTTGGAGGAGACAGATTTTTTCACTGCCACTAGAGACAAGGCCGTCCTGCTTTTGCTGCTGTCAGGCTGAGCAAATAAAGCCCAGTGGAACTAAACACAGTAGATGTTTACTTAATTCCCTTTTGTGAGTACAGTTCTCTTTCCCTCTGAGACCGTGCCTGGTGCTGGTCATTATGGAAACACTTGGTCTCACCGTCTTCAAAGGGTAAACTTGTGTATTCCTCCTGGATGAGGGTCCCAGCCCAGTGCAGTAAGGGAGGAGGTTTTGAGAAATCTTACTGCTTCTTACGTAGGCATTTGGCCAGCTCCACTGCTTTTAGCCTTCCGTTTACCCTCTCTCCCAGAGGTTCCTGATGTCACCTGACTTTTGGGGAACACTGTCAAGTAAATTGCTTCTCAAGTTTTCCCACTGTTGCCTTGAGTTTGACTTTCATGAATCTGCTAGGTCCGTTACCATTCACCCATTTCTTCACCAGCTTCTAGTATTTTGTTGTTGTCTTCACTTCTGTTATTGTTTTTGTGGGTCTTTGCT